CGGTAGTATGTTGTGAGCATTCTACTTGATTGGGAACTTGGAAGCAACAGGGCACATAACGCTATTCGCAGTGTGCAGAAGGTGTTGTCTAAAAACTAAAGAAATACATTTTATGTTATTACACCACATTTCTAATGGTATAAAACAAACAAAAGCAACAAATTCTTACATTTGCAAAGCTGGGATCTGAAAATATTTGTCATGTTTGCTTGACAAACAGCATTCACAGTTAACTGATTATCAAAATTGTTGAAAATAATTTTTTCCATATGACTGACTAAAGAGTTGAGCAGTCATTTGAGCATTGCAGAGCTTGACAGAGGCTTTACCATGTCATATAATAACCCTACAGCCATTAATTGCAGCAGTCACATCTGCACCTGCATGCACGGCAGTCACTGCCGTCTCGTGCACAAGTTCTTGTGAACATGTTTTGCTTTGTTTTAGCTCTTGTATTCCCCTTCTCTCCTCAAAGCAGACTCCTACGGTGCTCTGGGTAGCTCAGATGTCGTCATCCTGCTGCACGGTTTTCCCACCTCCAGCTACGACTGGAACAAGGTACCCACCACTCAACGCACCACAGCCAAAAAAATCTTTGGTCTTTTTGAGGCTCGCTCTTATGTCCGCCAGCTGGAGACAAATAGTGATTTTCCTCACAGATCTGGGAGCCACTCACACAGCGCTTCCATCGAGTCATTGCACTGGACTTCCTCGGTTTTGGCTTCAGTGACAAGCCAGTGAGTAAAACCTGAATTTTTCCCCTTGTGGATGGAAACCATGAGAGTTGTGTTTATTTTTTAGATTCATTCATTAACATGTATGTTATATCTCCTGCATGAGGTTTCTGCACTTATCATAACTCGTTTTCTCCTGTGCGTGAACATCCTAGCGACCACACCACTACTCCGTCTTCGAGCAGGCCAGTGTGGTGGAGGCCCTTGTGGCCCGCTTGGGTCTGAGCAGCCAGCGAGTCAATCTGGTGGCTCATGACTATGGAGACACCGTGGCCCTGGAGCTGCTCTACAGGTGTGTGCACCACTGTGTTTGTACAGCTTGAATCAATCAGTGAAATGACAAACCTCTAACACCCCTCTCTCTGTGTTGTTTTTGTCTCTGTCCTGCTCTCAAACCAGGAGTGACCAAAATCGCACAGGTCACCTGACCCTCAACAGCCTGTGTCTTTCTAATGGAGGTACAGTGTAGTCTGTTTTCTTTGGTCCTATTGCAGGTGTAGCTATTGTGTACCAACAGCAGAGTTAGGGTTTTATCTTCTGTAATTAGTGACAGGGAAAGAAAAACCAATTGAATGAGACTGAGATCCTGCCGTATCCGGTTGAATCCTTTTTGTGCTGTGTAAAGGAGCTCATTGTGCCATGTTTAAACTTGCACTGAAGTTTAATGAGGCCATGGAGAAGTACAATCGGTCGGCCTCGAAAAGATTCTGGCAAACCGTCTGGCGCCTCAGGAGGGGGAAGCAGTGCCCTGCCAAAACTGTTTACAGTGGAGGTGGGCAGCTGTTGACCTCAACTGGGGACATTGTCGGATGGTGGAAGGAATACTTCGAGGATCTCCTCAATCCCGGCGCCATGTCTTCCGAT